TAGTATAATCATTATTCGTATAGGTAAGTTAGAAGCAGTTCGAGCACTGTAATAACGAATATATTTTCATGTATTCTAGATAATTTACAAAAAACATCAAGTTGTAACAGTAGTTGTCTAAATTATAAGATAATATTCAATAATTAAACATATTCCTTTTATAAATTTTATAAACATAAGTTTGTTTATGTCGGCGTAAGCAGGTGCATTCTTAATAAATTAAAAATATGGAATCTCTATTATTATCTGTGTTAATGACTATACTTGTGCCGTTGGGAATCGGCATTTTGTTAGTATATATAATTTTTAAACGAAGATACACGTATTGGGACAACTTCGACATTGCTGTAAAACGCCCTCAGTTTCCTTATGGAAGTCTGGGAAATCCATTCAATAAAACTGCATCTGGACATGTAACAGTAGCAGATGCTTATAATAGTTTTAAAAGAAGCAATCAAAAGCATGGCGGAATATACGTTTATTTTACTCCACTCTATTTACCAGTAGATCCAGTCATCATCAAGAACATCCTTATTAAAGACTTCAACTATTTTTCCGACAGGGCTGCTTATTATAACAAAAAGCACGATCCCTTAAGCTTCAATTTAGTGACAGCGGGAGGTCAAGATTGGAAAGATATGAGATATAAATTGACACCACTTTTTACTATAAGTAAATTAAAACTAATCTGTCCCTTGTTGCAAATACATAACGAAAGATTCGTAAAGAAAATAGACGATTATGTAAGAAGAATGGAGCCTGCTGAGATAAATGATTTGACGGGATGCCTGACAACAGATATTATTGTCAGTTGCTCACTTGGAGTAGAATGTAACAGTATGGAACATCCAAACACCGATTTTAGAAAATTCGGAAAACGCTTATTTCATTTCACACCGTTTCGACTTCTGAAAGCAACATTCACCAGAGGTTTCCCTAAATTGGCAAGGTATCTAGGACTGGTTGTATTTCCGAAAGATGTTTCAGACTTTTTTATGAACATTGTGGATGAAGTTTTTGATTATAGAACTAAGAACAATGCAAAATATAACGATTTCTTTCAATCATTAATGGAATTGCAGAAGAACGAAACCAACGAGAGAGTAAAAAAAACTAACATAGCAACGCAAGCACTGCTGCTATTCACCGCTGGTTTTGAAACAACGTCGTCCACCCTAACACTTGCTATTTATGAACTTGGTTGTAATCTTGAAATACAAGAGAAGCTGCGCAAAGAGGTGTCTTCGGTTTTGGAAAAACATAATGGAAAATTGTCTTACGAGGCTCTTATGGAAATGGAATACCTTGACAGAGTAACGGACGGTGAGCAAAAATAATTAAATTTTACTCCTTTGTCGTTATGAGCAATTATAGTAATAAACTTCATGATTAGTGGTATTGTTCATGAGTTCTCTGTAATTTTATTATCAATATTATATTTCCAAAATGTATAAATAAGAGCTAGGAATACATAACGGTCGACAACATGCGAACCGCGGTCCGAGTCCAGACCGCGAAAGGTCAAAAAATGGACCACCAAAAATTTTTGAAAGCAAATTACTCAAGTTATTATATTTTATATTATATTTTTCTGAAGGTAACAAAGTAAGTTTGAGCTATTTTGGAGGAAGGAATGTGTTTGTACTGGAGCTCGATAAAAATTTTCAAAAACATCCGGACTCCATTTAAAATTACTTGTCGACCGTTGGTATAGGGATTGACATTTTATTTTGAATATTAAAATATTAAAAAAGAAATTGAAACAAAGAACCGATATTAAACCAGGTCCGAATTCTTTGATTCATTTTTTATACATGTAACGTTTATTATTCCAGAAACATTAAGAAAGTATCCGTCCCTCCCCATATCGATCAGAAAATGTATACAAGATTATCGCGTAGAAGGCACCAATTTGGTTATCCAAAAGGGAGTAAAAGTATGCATATCAATTTTGGGTATACACAGGGATCCAGAATATTATCCAGACCCGGAGGTATTCGATCCTGAACGATTTACTGAAATAAATAAAAGTAAACGACCTCCTTGCACGTATTTGCCATTTCTGGATGGACCCCGCAATTGCATAGGTTATTGTTTACAAAGTAGAGTTAGTTCAGAATCTCATGAATCTTGACCTTTGTTCCATTCCTGGCGGTATATATTGTACAATATGAATGCAATAAGGTCAGTCTATTGCACAGGTGATGACATGAGATTTTGAACTATAGTCATTATATCATTGGGAGATTGCATGTGAAGTAACGATACATTTCCTTATTCCCCTTCCCTCCGCCAGGTCCAATTTCGGTACCCCTTCTGCCGCCTTGCTAGCGAACGTATTTTATGAACACACGAGAGTTAAATGAGTTGTTGTCATTGCTTTTAATATTGACGTAAAAGACATATTTANTAATAGAAAAATGCATACATTCATTCATTTATCAATTTTTGATTAAATCTTGGCGACTTAAAAATTCAATTTAATTTTTAACGAACTACAATGAATATACCTATAGGACGCGTGTATATGCACATTAATAAATGATCATGAATGGACTTGTTTTTGAAATTATTTAGAAGATTGAATATACGTATACGCGTGTAGAAAAGAGACGTATTCATCATATTATTTGTAATGTACACAACGTGTGTCAACATAATTATATGCACTTGTGTGTGGAATGATGCGGACTCCTACCGTAGCAACTGTAAACAGTTTTATTACGTTCTCATTTAATCCTATTAGAAAACGAGAATCTACAATCAAATACCTACTACGAGAAGTTGTATTCTTTTGACACCCTACGTAATAGTGGTATTGAGAGGCCTTGACAGGTGTTATATAATCACCGATAGATCTACGCAAAGTCGTTACAGCTATAACATTCAGGTATGATTTTAAAAATAAAGTATTAACAATAAATACATCGTAGATATATATAAGTACTTGTTGATTTTTTTATTTAACCTCTTTAATGTTGATTATTAACATGAGAAAAGTGGCTTAAATGTATCTGACCAATCGATATCTTGTTTATGAGTCGATATTTCAACGCTGCAAGTATTATTGTATGCATATGAATTTTACGTCAAGTATCTATACGAATACATCTGTACATATATAGCGTGTTGCGCAATAAAGAGGTCATTAATATCAATTCTATTAGTTTTATACAACTGTCTAAATCATTCGTATTTCCGACAAAACTTATTTTTATATTTTGTATAGGCGGATGATGAGGATAACGTGGGTAGAAAAGGTTAGAAATGAAGAGGTATTGGAAAGAATAGGAGAACAGAGGACTCTATGGAAGTCAATAAGACATAGGCGAGATAGGTTGGTAGGACACCTTCTCAGGCATGAAGGTCTAGTCAGAGACATATTAGAGGCAGAAACAG